TAGGTTTATTATATACGGGGTGATCAATGAAGTCATACAAAAAATCAAAAAAACTTTAGGAACATCACTGTTAATTAGTACCCAAGTGAATATTTTTATCTCGATAAAAACATGAAAAATAGAGAGACAAAAAAGATGTGTTTTTGATTGACGATTTTGAAACAGAAAATAAAAAAATATGAAAAAGTCAGTGGCGTACTTTTTTTTTCAAAAGTATCAATTAAGTTGCCTTTGGGGACGCCACTGGAATTGATATTTCAGATATAACTAGGTCAAAATTAGTCTCTTATAACAAATGAATCTGCCAAGTTTCCTCAAAATCGGTCGAAGAGTGTTTATGCTATGAATGAAAAATTTATTATTTTTTAAAATTTGAACACCCTGTATCTTTGAAACAAAGCAATTTAGGACACATGTATATATAAACTTTTAGTCATAAATTGTGCCAAGGAATTACCTCCTTTAATTATGGCATGATGTTTGGGAACACCCTATATAGGAAGCCCTATCCACCGGCAGCTATTGTCTGACAGGTCGATGCAATGCCTTATTGGATATTTGTTAACAGGACATTTTTTTGCTTGAAAAGAACTTAGGAATAGGTTATTTAAGAAAATAAATTTGTTCAGTACGTCGTGCAACACCCTGTATGTTTAGTTTTCGATTTTATCCAAAATTTGTCATTTTAGCACTACTTTTACTGTATTAGGTTTTCTGGCTGTGTTTAAACACTTGAAACTCTAATTCAACGATTTTCTGTTGGTTCTCGTCAGTATATCAATTAGACCAGAGTATACTGGCGCATTCGTTTGCAAAATTGTTTTAATTCGTATTTTTTTAAATGGCCGGAAAGCTTTCCTGATTATAAAAGTGTAAGATGACACTCGATATTTGTTGATGTTATTGTTTAAACAACGAAAAATTAATTAAGCCAGAAAAAATGCATTTTTTGCAATGAATTAATTTTTTTATATTCTTTAGGATATTTCGAATAAAAAGTTTTTGCGCCCATCATCGTATCTTCAACCCTTTAATTGTTATGAATTCTTTAAAATCCAAAATTGACGAAAATTCTAATTTTCTTGAATTAAATAATGTACCTTAAAATTTAAAATGCTATAATTTTAAATTTTTTACCGAATATTCAAACTATAATAAACAAAATTACCTAAATAAATTTTCAAAATTATGTTTGTTGTTATGTTTTTTTTAAGTTATAACAATATGCTTCCTACGCGTCACGATGCCACGAAAAAGATTGTTCACAAATTAAATCACACAGTCACGTTATCAGTTCGACGAAGAGTTGCATTTTTTAATTTTAAATATGTATCAGGTTTCGGACACTTCACTAACGCCTCGCCATGATCACAAAATAAACACTTTTGGTCGTCAGATAATTTAATTTTTTTTTGGAATTAAAGAGAACGACATTATTACTCAGAAAATTACACGACTGCAAAGTAAACCAGTAGATGTAGAATCGAGCAAGACTGATTAACAATAGAAAAATAATTTTCAAAACGAGCCAAAAATTCTAAGGTGTAGGTTGAATTTTCTATTTGGAAGGTTGTAAAAATTGTTTATGACAGGAAAAATAATAGAAGAAGAGTTAAACGTACAATTTTTTCAAAATACGAAATAAGTCCCTTTACCTATTTGTATTCATAGTGCAAAAGATTAAAAGTCATAAAAAAATTTCATATTTATAGGACTTACTCTCAATATTATAAAAAAAAATTTCCTTATATTTGTTAAATGGAGAAAGGCTTGGATATTTTTGAAATCATAAAATTTTATAACCCCAGTAAGCCTACTATGTTCATTGTAACAGGTAGAAATTTTTCACGGATCACGACAAGTGCATTTGGCCTTTTTATCGTATTAAAAAAAAAGGTTGAAGAAGATTTTACTTCTGAGGCAGTATCGACAATAATTTTTTCATGAATAAAAATAAATGTTAAAAATAAATGTTTCTGTTACCTTTAATAAATAAAAAAGTTATCAAAAGTATCTAAAAAAGTAAAAAAAAATCATATGATACAAAACTATTAATCGGCAAATATAACAAAGTATTATGAAAAATGTTAATAATAATTTTTTTAAACTTATTACCTCTGAAAAACAGCAAAAAATTGATTCAGCGCGTCATCGGGCGTTCTATTACCCATCTTATACATTGAGTTGGAAGTGAGGGTGATCAGACAGAACAGAACTTGACAGAACAGGACAAAACAGAACATGACAAAACAGAACTTGGCAAAACAGAACTTGGCAAAACAGAACTTGGCAAAACAGAACACAGACAACACAGACAAAACAGAACATGGACAAAACAGAACACAGACAAAACAGAACAAGGACAAAACAGAACACAGACATAACAGAACACAGACATAACAGAACACAGACATAACAGAACACGGACAAAACAGAACACAGACAAAACAGAACATAGTATATAATAACTAGGTAAGTATTTCTTGAAATTCTCTAACAAAAAGTTTCGCCTCCTATCAGTATACATATATTTAAATGCGTTTAATGGGTTAATTCTTAGTACTTAGGGTACTTAGTACTTAGGGTAAATACTTTAAATACCATAATTAAACAACAATATTATTGGGATTTACTTTCTTATGTTTTGATTAAATTGTGTAGGAATTGTTTGTATAATTCTTACATATATGCTAAAAATTAAAGAATAGTTAAAAATATGAAAAAATCGGAAAAATTTCATGATTAAAAGATACTGTATTTATTTTTTTGACTATTTTTTTTTCTAGTTATTTTTATTATTTTTTTAATGTTATAAGAAAAACAAAAAAGGAGTAATTAAACATTTTTGGTACTTAAATAATTTGTTTAATAATTAAATAAAAAAAATACAGTAAATGATACTTTTTACTACTTATATTACTTTATATATTATACTTTTTATATTATTGGAGATTGGCCATTCGGTGTAGAAATTCCAACTTATTTTTAACAGACTTCAAAAAAGGAGGAGGTTCTCAATTCGTCGCGATATTTTTTTTTATGTATGTTCAGCGATAATTTTTTAACACGGTGTCCGATTTAAATAATTTTTTTTTTGTTAGAAAGGGGAATTTCCAACCTAGCGTGCCATGTATATAGTTGATAGAAAACGTTTGGTGCTTTATTAAAAATTCCATCTCCAAAAATAACGTCCTTTTTTAATTCTTTAACCAACTCTTCATTCCCTATTGCAAGAATTCTATCAGAATCATCGGCCCCTGTTTCATGTAAAATTACATCCATGTAAAGTTCTGGTATATTAAATTCGACCGTTGTTGGATTTGGAATATAAGCACCTTGTTTATGTCGAGTGAGGGTTCTCGTAAGAAAAGATGGTTTTGATACTATTTCCTGATTAAATATATTGCCATATTACCCTAAATCAATTGTATGATAAATAGTTAACAGTGTTAGATTATTTTTTGTACAAATTTCATTGATTTACTTTTGCTATCAATAAGACTTAATTGTTTTAAAAATCTACAAATAAAGTTTGAATTTCTTACGTGATTTTACTTCTCTCAGTAGAGCGTCGATATGTTCTGTTTTGTCTGTGTTCTGTTATGTCTGTGTTCTGTTATGTCTGTGTTCTGTTATGTCTGTGTTCTGTTTTTTCCCTGTTCTGTTTTGTCTGTGTTATGTTTTGTCCGTGTTCTGTTTTGTCTGTGTTCTGTTTTGTCTGTGTTCTGTTTTGTTATGTTCTGTTTTGTCCTGTTCTGTTTTGTCAAGTTCTGTTTTGTCATGGAACCGGAAGTGAGATAGAAGTACTTCTCTCTAAAAGTACACGCGCGTAGGAAGCATATTGTTATAACGTAAAGAAAAAACAACAACAAACAAAATTTTTTATTTATTATAGTTTGAATATTCGGTAAAAAATTTAAAATTATAGCATTTTGAATTTTAATTTAACAAAATTAGAATTTTCGTCAATTTCGGATTTTAAAAAATTCATAACAATTAAAGGGTTAAACATACGATGATGGGCGCAAGGACTTTTTTATTCGAAATATCCTAAAGAATAAAAAAAAATTAATTCATTGCAAAAAATGCATTTTTTTCTGGCTTAATTAATTTTTCGTTGTTTAAACAATAACATTAATAGCGAGTGTCATCTTACACTTTTATAATCAGGAAAGCCTTCCGGACATTTAAAAAGAATGCGCCACTATACCCTGCACTAAATCGTTGTTAAAGTTTTTAGTAAAAGGGATTTGCATTAGATAAACTGTGATTACTATTATATTTTTTTATATTCACACAGTTTTAGTTATTTTTTTTTGTCATATTTTGGGGAGGGGACGTTTTAATATTTTTTTTATAGATTCACATGGATATTAGCTATTCTACGCACAGACTACAAAACAAACTGAATATATTTCATATCCATTCTACCCAGTAAGAACACTGCAAAAAAGTTACATCTACCATTCTGTTCACCCGGCTACTATTATTTTTTTTTTAATTTTAAAGAACAGAGACTTAGGGCATCTGGCTTTCATGCAGAGGTCCCGGGTTTAATTCTACAATTGAAGGCTAATTAAATTAAATCTTTTTTTTTTTCAGTTAATTTTATTATGTAAATTAAAAAAAGTCATAAATTATTTTTAAATTAGTTATTAGTTATAATCTAAAAAATTTTTAAAAATTTGTCCAACTCGAGTGGATTGTCCGTAACGCACTCGGTCGCCTAAGGCGTCGTGTTCAAATAACTTCGTCTTCGTGCGATATGGTCATCATATCCATTCTTTTTGCAAAAACTAGGTACTAGGTATTGTGAATAAACAGACAGATACAAAATATGATAAATAATTCATAGTCGTATACTTTTGTTGTTAATTTAAACTATTTTTAAAGTATGTCTATTTGGTTGAAAATTTAAAGCATACCTACGTTAATTTTAATTTATTACCCATAGTACCTAACAGAGTAGCTTTTTTAATAGAACAGTAGTTATATTTTACCTGTAAATTTGGCCTTCCAAAATTCCCAACATCCAAGGAAATTCTCCAAATTCGGCTTCGTTATTGTTACCCAATATCCTAAACCCGAAATATTTTCCATCAAATATTTTCTCCGATAGTATATCGTTAATAGTATTTTTCCTCTTTCCGCACTCCACTGGACAGCACACGTCAAAATCGTTGGAACATGGAATTTCGAAATCTGAGTCTGCCATTCTGCAACAAATCGAGTTTTCGTGTTATTTATTTGAATTAATTTTATTAAGACCATTTTATAAATAGAGAATCGACTACTTAATGTTTTAAACTTGTTAGTTTACACAATTCATTATAGTGGAACAGTTATTATTTAGAAATTAATAAAAAAAAAGAGTAAATTCTGTACCTTATGTCCATTACTTCTCCTCCATCCTCTACTAAACCACTGTAATCCTCTTTACACTGCCAATAAGGCACACAAACACAATGTTGATTTTCCTTTTCGCTGATTCTGTTTTTATTACCACCAGCGATAGTATTTACTTTGTCCAATGAATAAAAACCGAGTAGTATCAAGAATAAAAAATGTATTAAGTCCATAATAAATAAAATGTTCGCGACTTTATCATCAAACTGATTTTTAAAATGTGACTTGGAACTCGTACTAGCTGTTCGTAAATGATACAATAATATTTATCTTCTAAAATATCTGGAAGTCGTTATAAAGATTGAATTTTAAAATTTATACCTGAATTTTAATCCTTTAATCTATGTATACTTACCCTATTTGGTTTGTAATTCAAAATTTTTGTTATTAAAATATCATTAGCAACATTTTAATGTAGTTTAGCCTGTGGTTTAATGGTTTAACTAGAAAATGATTTAGATAATATATTAAAATGCCTCTTGTATCATTTTTAAAAAGGTATAAATTCATGATTTTTTGTTTATTTGGTTATTTTGTCTAGACTAAACGGTGCCAGTCTTCCCACAAATAAATACAGAAGTTTCTTATTTATTCTTTTTATACCATGAGTTTCTCAAATACGGAAGCGTAGAAATACCCCAAAATATATTTTACTTCGCTACGAAAACTGCATTATATCTGTTGTAGGAATTCAATTCAAATTCAAATTTATTAGTTTGTATACATGTAAATTATATTGTAATTAAAATTAATTAAATTGATAAATAGCTTCTTCGGGAGGCGTGATCTTGTAGTTTTGTGTAGTCCTCTTCCAAAGTGGCCATATAAAAAGAAAAAAGATAATACAATGTAAACGACACAAATAAAACATGATGTAGATTTTTTTTGGTAGGTAAGGCAAAGCTAGAAAATTCGGAGTATTATGTTATAAATAAATGGATATATTTATTAAGGAGACATTAAAAGATTTTGAAAATATCAGGATTTTTTAGAATTAGCTTTTTAACTTCGGTTTTAAATTTAACTGTTTTTGAATTTTTTTTTATATTTATAGAAAGCAGGTTAAAAAGCTTAGGGCCATAGTAGAAAAAACTTCTTTGTGTTAGCGATTTATTAAACAGATTAATGTTTATATTCGGAAAAGAACTAGTTCGCATTTTTGACTCCATTAAGAGAACAGTGTCCTACGATCGGGAAACCGTTGTTGATCCACTCTTCTTGCATGACGCCCATTTTTTGGATATTCACTGTATAAAAGTAACATATCAGTGGCGTGCGGTGTCATTTTTGAAAGGGGAAGCGATTGTATAAAAATACAGCAAGCAGGCCAGTAAGCACAGCGCCGCAGGCAAAAATTTTTCCCGGCGCATTCACCATTTTGTCAAAATCTTGCTTTTTTTTTTCCTCAATACTAAGGATATACGAGATTGAGATTTTTGAAGTGTTACTAATACTTTATTACCTAGTTTAGTCCTAGAAGCTATAAAAAAACTTACCATTGAAAAGCGCCTTGGTTTATTTAAAAGTAAAAAAAAACATTTAACTGAAGTTTTTTTTATTTTCTCCAGCATTTTTCGCACAGTTGACACAGCAGTTGACATTTGTTTATACTTAAGATATATTCGCCTATACTCAATGACTACAAATTTGTATATAGCATCGTCGTAAAATTTTGGATTTTCTGATAACTGTTTAACAAGCTGTTTTTCAATGGATATTAGGGCAAAATTAGAGAGTCTGTCTTCACTTGTTGAATTTCGTATAAAACATTTAATGCGCTTTAAAGCTGAAAAACTTTGCTCAACTGACGTACTTGTGGCTAGGATGGTTAGTACTAATTCACACAACTTGACGACTTCACAAAGGGACTTATTTAAACCAGTTGTTATAAGAAAATTTAACACATTGATGGGCGTCTTTTTATTACTAATTTCAGTTGTTTCATAAACAACACTTAACTGGGACTTTAATGCTAGAATATCGAAAAAAAAATCCATAATTAATTTAACTGAATTTAAAGCTTCCGATGGAAATTTTGATGAATCGTAGTTACTAATATTAAAATTGCAGAACTCAACAAATTTTAATTCGTTAAAGTTTTGAAATCGAGAGTTCATTTGTTGTAGAATATTATCAAAAATTTCGGCGTATAATCGACAATAGGAGGTTTCTCTGTCGCCGACATTATCAATTCTAATTCTCTTTCTTTCAGGTTCTAAGCCAATGTTTTAAGTCTTATTCCAAAAGTGTTCCAACTGATCTCGTTTGTTATTCATTTTATTTTTAAATCATCAATTTGTTTAATGCAAAAGCCAATGTCATTTGACTTTGTCTGTAAAATGTCGAATAAAATGTCAGTAAAAGGGAAAATCACTGCAAAAGTATAAAATTGAAATCAAAGTTTTGTTTGAGCCAATGCAAAAACCCTTTAGCAGCAGTAACAGTTTCAGCATCCCATGTTTCTCTATTATCCCAAACGTCTTGAAAAAAGTTTATCAAAGAATCACGGTATTGAAACACTGCACTAAACGTCCATTGTAGTTCCATCGCGTCGGAGCAACTTTTGGAAACCTTCTTTGAACGTGAACTTTCCAAAGCGCGAGTTGATATTTGACTAACCTAATTGTTTTATTTAACTTTATTGTCTTTGGTTTTCATTTCAAATAAATGTGTATTGTTGGTTGTATAACTGATTGATTCATTTTTTGATGCTCACTTCTGTGTCGCAAAATTTAATAGGGGAGATTGGGACAATCTCTGATTTGCTTCTTGAAACCACTATAAAATCCCTGGGAACTATAAATATTTTATGAAAGGTAATGAAAGAAAACAAATAACTGAGTCTCGTGCAAATTTAATTGAAAAGGAATGTTAAAAGCCTATATAGGTAAGTTTCTGAAGTGCTTATTATATAAAATTAATAATATTGTCATTGGCGTCTAATATAAATTTATTTTATGAGTTAGTTAAAGAGTATTATCTTCTACACTAAGAAAACAAATTTATAAAAAATATTTTCTTAAAAATAATTAAATCATACATTTCATTACAATAGGAAATTTTGGGGAATTTGGCAAAATTATTTCACAAGTGTACTCTTCTTAATTTATTCCGAGCTTTCGAGTATGGTTATACTCATTATCAAGGAGCTACAAAAGTTAATAAAAGTTGTTAAAAAGATTAGTTAATTTGATTGAGATGGTTAAACTTACAACTCATTGAGGATGGTGTGTAAAAGGTCGTCATCAAATTAAAATTAAAAATATTGGACATCACAGTTTACAAAGACGAAAACTATTTTAAACGAACAAAAACTTGATACATTATTTATAATTATCGAGAAACAACATCGATGTTGTCTAGAAATGTGGATAACCAACAACGTGGTTCACAGCGTGGGTTGTGAAACCCCGCGAAAAATTAAGTAAAATGTCATATGTCAATCATCTGTCCAACCTGTCAACGGCAAAAAAGAAGAACACTATGTGGCCTATGTGACCTTAGCACTAAGGGTAAAACCATCAGCCCATGCCAAGCCTGACTAATGAATACCATATACGAAGAACAAATTTATATTTATGTGTTTTAATTATTATACGACTAATAATTGTACGGAGGAAATTGTGATTTGTTTTAAAAAATGTCACTAACGTTGTAGGCGACGTGCCCTCTGAGTAAACAGCACGATGCCTTTGTTAGGGTTGCTATCCCCTATCTTGGATCATACTATTCACTTCAGCAAGATAGGGGATAGCAACCCTAACAAAGGCATCGTGCTGTTTATATATCCCCTTATAAAGCTTGATTTTTGCCAAAAATTTCAAGTTAATATTATTGTTCGTTTTTGAGTTAGGATTTTTAAAATATTTCTATCCCCTTAACCCTAGATTTTTATTCAATTTTTTTTTCTAATCAATAAGCTTCATCTCATTATAGAGCTTGATTTTTACTAAAAAATTCATGTTGCTATCGCTTTTCGATTTTGATTTATGTTTTTTTTTAATTTCAACCCCCTTAACCCACCATTTTAAATGGGATTTTTTTCAAAATCAATAGGCTTTGTCTCGTTATAGAGCTTGATTTTGCTAAAAACTTTAAGTTTTTGAGTTCAATTTTTTCAGATTTTTCAAAATCAATAGGCTTCGTCCCCTTATAGAGTTTGATTTTTTCTATAATTTTCAAATTGACATCATTTTTCGGTCACTTATCGTGCGGACAAATAAATGTGACATCGAATGGACGAAAGTAAACGCAGAATACTCTTCACAGACTACTATGTGAAGAATATAAGATATAATAATTTAATTCAACAAGTGTTAAACATGACCTTCTTCTTTCTGTATACAAGTTCTATACACGTTTTTAACTGACTTGACCACAGAATTACTTTGAGAAGCTTTTCCCGGAAAACAAATTTAAGGCCATGCCATAAATACACAAAAATGCTATCAAGGATATATCCAGAGCTGCTGTAAGTACCCGTAAAACGTACTTAAGTCTCAAGTACAAGTACTTTTGAAGATTGCTAATAAGTACCAGTACAAGTACAAATACATCTATTTGGTAGTTAAGTACCTAGTAATTAAATCCTAAAATTAAAGTACATTAGCCTTAAGTACATAAAAACGTACTTATGTACTTTATAGAGTAGTTAACTTCTGAAATATACTTATATACTAATATACTAGGATAAATACATTGTATACTTAAGTCCATATATAGATGTGCTTAAGTATATTTAGGTTTAAATAAGTACTTACAAAACACTTAAGTACATTTGTGTTTACTTAAATAAAAATAATAGAAAGTCTATGCTGGTGTGAAGCTTAAAGGCCTAAGTCAGCTCAATTTAAATTAAAATATCATTGCTAACCGGGATTAGTAATATTAGACATTAGTAATAAAGTATTTATTAATAAACAGTTCATATTTTACGTAAAATTTAAAAATAAAATGGTATAAGATAAAATAAATATTCCTTTAATAATAAAATAAAAAAAGAACAGAGTACCACTTATACTCGTAAAGTACATCAGTACTACTACTACCAAATCTATTTTGACGTGGCGCATTAACAATTCCAGCAAAAGAAAAAAGTCTTTCGACTGGTGCGGAAGATGGCAGGATCGTATTGTATTTAATAAAAACTAACTTTATATAAAGTCTATTCTGTAATAATTCCTTTATATTTTAACGGCCGTTAAAATATTGGCGGCCTTTAAAATTATTTTCGTATTCACTAACTTACTTCTGTCATTATTTAAACGGATTCCTTTAAAATAGTCCTCAAACAAACAATCATTTTTAAAGGGATATTAAAATTCGCCTTTAATTTTTAACGGTTTTGAATTGAAAATTGAGGATTTGTATGGTTATGTTTTCAAACTAGTTCAAATAAATCTTAAATGCGATGTTGACAAGTA